TCCTGCTGTTCTTTAAGGGACAACCTGTTTTTGAGATGGATGCCACCATGGTTGTGAGGGGAAATAAAGGCTCCCGTTGGAACTTTCCAAGGCAGTTCTTGGCTCTCGGCACCCATGGGGAAAGGGCGACCTTGCTCTCGCCAGCGGCTGCTCTTCCACCCCACTCTGCAGCAGCGGAGGGGCAGTGACACCCTGAGCAGGCTGGGCCTGAGCTCGCCCCTCGCTGTGCACCAGCCAGGAAACAGGACAGGGGCTGCACATGCCTACAAGAGCCCTGCAGAGCTGTCAAACTGGGTAAAGATCCAATGAGATCAGCCACGTTGATTATTTTAACAACAGGGACCTGAACACCGGCACTACGGATGGTGTGGGAACTCTGCAGTCCAAACACGTTGTGTACCAAACATCTGTACGTCTCCCATGCTTATCTCTCAGCGCCACCCTTAGGCTCCATGCATGGAGGAGTGTAAAGGACAAGCACTTTCCTGATACAAACAGCAGCATTAAGGATTGATTTGCTGATGGTTGCTTGTCAATAATCTGTAGAAAAACTAACACAGTTGATTTGGATTCCCAAGACCATGTCAATGTCAATTCAAACACAGAGAACTTAATCCAGAGACCTCGTGCCCTATCCAAAGGTGATGTCTAAATCAGAGTTTCTCAGGCTCCAGATCGGAAACACAAAGCTGTCCTTTTCCTGGTCTTGGGAACGCCTTTAGCATCAGGGCAGTGCTCTTCCAGGCTGAGAACACAGGGCTGAGAAAGCAGCAGCTCTGGGTGGGCTGAAGTTTTCACAATCACCTCTTGCCTTTGTGAATCACTGCTTGGGAAATGCAAGTGGCTGTTTGGCAGAATGGCTAAGGCACCAGGCCTGGTTACAGCTGGGATTCTTAACAGCATCTGGAGTCGCTTCTCCCACTCTACCTTCAAGATGAGAAGGGAGTTTGTTTGCCATGTATATAAAATTTAATGAAGCTTTTAATCAGCATCACTAGTGATAGTGCTTTTGTAAGTGCCATTTCTAGATTTTACACTGCCGTCTTGGCCTATAGAAGATATTTAAGACCCATTAAAGATACCTTATGATGAATTTGGTGAAAACCAAAACTTGGATCTCCAAAAGTTCCATCTTTATGATCAAAGGGGCAAGTTACCTATACCCTACACCTATATTCAGGGCTCTCAGTATGCAGAAGCAGCTCTCCTGCAACACACCACCCTAGCAGCTTTGTTAGGGCCCGAAGATTTGGAAACAATGCTGGTAATTCAAGCAAGTCCAGAAAGTGCTACCAGAAAGAAACGCCAGAAGCCATTTACCTAAGTGACATGCTCCACCGACCCAGCCAGCGGGACAGCTACAAATCCCAGGAGCCACGCAAGCCCCGTTATTCCGACAGCCTTGAGGACAAATTGCTGGAAGGAAAGCGGATAAACCAAGATGATTTACACATCTGATATGAAAGAATCCTAACAACAAAATGTTCAAGAATTTTGGGTTAAATCTTAACAGACTTACATTAATGCAAAATAACTTGATATTTTTTATCTGCATATTTACCAGTAGTGCAGCTCCTCCACTTCTACAGTAATACATTTTCATTTTCATTTCATTTCATTTTCATATTACTAGCCTATTAATTCTTTTAAAATACTTTTTATTATTGCAGTTATATTTTTAATCACCACAAAGTGTTTTCATTATTTACATACACAATGCACTCTGTGTTTCCATTTCAATACCCTTATACCAAAGTAACACTGACATTTTAACTGGGAGCAGAGTTTCTTCAAACTTTTCTCCTAGCAGACACATAAGCTCAGCTGAACAGTTTGTGTTTTGCTTTTTACACACACCACATGAGCAAGAATTTAGTTCCTCAGGACACAGTGGAAAAAAATGAGATAACTACAGTAATTTTAACTAGCAATTTCTTTCTGTTTTCATTGACCTCTCCTAGGGCTTCCTACTGAACTTGCTTCAAGCCACAGGCATGGTGAGCATTTGAGTTACACGATCTGAGCACGAAGCATGTCAGTGTAGACACCCACCTTCCTGGCACCTTGATCCCGTCCAGCCAGATGCACAGAGGCACTTCACGATGCCGTTGACAGAGATGCACTGCCCTCCGTTCTGACAGCCTCCTTCACAGCTCACTGTGAGGAGGAAAAGCAGCACATGCTGTTTCATTTCAGGAAGAGCACAAAGCTGCAAATAATTATCTTTAAATAGCTTGTCTACCATCCACTACTTACTTTATCACATCTGCAAAGAATATAGTTTTAATTATTCAGCGCAAGGCACAGTTCCATAAAGAGAGGGTGAAGGTGACAGAACCACATCTATAAAATACTGGCTTAAAATGTACTTAGAATTAAATGTGTGTTTAGCAGCTTGGTCACCATTTAGCTTGGAAGTGCCAAATATGGAAAGAAAGATACAAAGGGGAGAGGAGGGAGAGAGAGAAAGAGAGGGAGAAAGAAAAAGAGAGGGAGAAAGACAGAAAGAGAGAGAGAAAGAATTTTAAATTTAAATATATTAGAATTTAGAATATTTAAAATCACACTGCACTACACATCACACCTCTGCCTGTAGGCCCCATGTGCCACAGCACCCAGTGGACACAGCGCGACATGGACTGCCTTTCAGCACCATAGCAAACACCCAGCACTCGTGCGCGGATGCCAGCAAAAGCACAGGGTGAATGTTCTCTCTGCTTCTCCTAGCCAAATGGCACCTCTCACCTTGCTTCTGACCAGGACTCCTCTGCCAAGGTCAAGAACAACACCAGGAGAGACCTTCATTTGGCTTTTAAGGAATAAATAAATTTTCATGCTGAAAAATGAAGGTGACCACTCTCCATTTTACCTCACTGCTGCCAATTCTGTCAATGGCTGCTTGAAACGGTTATTTCCAAGTGAATTATACAACAGTACTGTGTTCTACAAGGGCTCTTCATTAAAAGGCACTTCCTCACAGTTCTCATTCTTCTTTAAATGTTGACAATTTTGATATTAAAGTATTCTCACCGGCATGTGAATTCACACTCTCTGAATGCCTAATTAACATCTCAGGGCTATAGTTCAAGCTTTGAACAGATGTTACCATGTTAGTAACAATCGGGTTGTCTCTTCTTAAAATACCAGAGAGCGCTTTATGAAAAAATAAAATAAAATAAAATAAAATAAAATAAAATAAAATAAAATAAAATAAGAACAAAACAAAGCAAACACCCAGATGCTAGAGAACTGCAGAAGATACCCAAGTTCCTGCTGCAAGTGCCTATTAGGCTACATGCCAGTTAGACCCTTACAGAAATTTCACATAGAAAAGGAAAACAAGAAAATATTCACAGAATAAACATCAAGTATCAGCTGAGACTCCTGTGAGGTGCAGCTACCTAGTCACTGAACTGAGCTGGAAAGATCACTTATTAAAGGAACAGCTAAAACCCTTTAAATCTACTAACAAATAACATTTTTTTTGACTCAGCACAGTGATGACTGCCCAACTACTCAGTGTCTTTTTAAGATTTTTTTTCTTCTAGAAAGCTTAAGCTGAAACATTTCTTCTACAAGAAAAATACAGAACTTTGTTTTCCTTTACTCTTATACAGATTTTTCGTTCAAGTTATTTTAATCTTCCTTCCCCTTGTATCCCAGAACTCAAGAGTTATCACCAATAACGTGCTCTGTTCATAACGATGCTAATGCTAAGGGTTTTCTTGGATTATTTTTTCCAATCCCTATATACATATAGGTACATAGATTGATCCGATAGGCTTCATATAAATAAAATATTGATCTTCTTTTACTCCTCACTCTCTCTCATTAACTATCAGCATACTCTGCAATTTGCATTATAGTTTTCCTTTGATACTACCATTCTTGCAGACACTACAGCTACACAGCTGAACGACATTTAAATTATAGAAAAATGTACATAACAGTTGCTGTTTGCAGGGGACTATATTTTCTCAAATGCTGACAGCAAACTCCAGTTCTTCTTTCCATCCTCTCCTGCAAATATGTAGATCCTTCAGGCCATGGATCAGTAAGGTCAAAGTCAAAGGAACTGCAGTCATTATTCCAAGGAGAAATAGATCATAAACTTGAGGAGTCCCCAATATATTTTGCCAGTTTTCAAGCTTCTTGTTTTTCCTACCATTTGGGTTTCACTCACCTTTATGACAGTATCTACCCCCATAGCCAGGAGGACATTGGCATTTTCCAGGTCTGAGGCACTCCCCATCATTTTTGCATTTGGGATAACAAGTTGCTGTAAGACAGACAATAAACAAAGTTTGAGTAACTATTGGTGAAGCTTACCAAACTGTTTCTTAACTGCATGTGATATGTGTATTACTTTAGTCTCTTGGAATACTGTCTGTATCCTGCTTCTCACAGGATGATTGTTCTGCCTTCCCACAGGTCCAAGCAGGAGGAAGGGTCTCCCACAGACAACAATCCACTATTTTCAGATTCTAAATGTTCAATCTAGGCTAGATTAAAAAGGAGCATTGCTGGACTGCCAAAGGAACTTTTGATAATTTAAGTCAAGAAATGGAAAACATAGGTGAGAAAAGCAGTTAGAAGAAGAAAAGACAAAAAGAAATCTAAGACTTCAGTAGAAACTTCTGATTCTTAAGATGCTTCATCAAACTTAATCTTTATTGGATTTCTATATCCCCCTCCAGACATCCTGATTTCCTCAACTCTTCTCTAAATCTCTTTAAGAATACATCAGCTTTCTTTTCCATCCCCTAATTTTGACCAACTGGCCTCTTAGAGGGCCCTTCTAAAATGTTGAGCATTTGCTTAGAAATAATCTAGGAAGATAAATATAAATTTATCATAACCATACTTATCTGTGAGGACGAAAGTTTCTATATTCCTCATGGCTTATACAGCTCTTTCACTGGTGGCTGCTTAGCCACGCAACACAAGGCACAAATAAAAGGCTCCATTTTGCTAAACTGTAGGTAGAACTGATCTGCTAGCCTAACGCGGAGCCCTCCTTGCTACTCATAAACCACTCCTGAATCAGTCTTGCTTCCTGAGAAAACATTCATTTATGCACAGGAGCTCTCAGTTTAAGAGGAATTCTGTTTCCGTGTGATTTCATACGCTTTTATAAACACTTCAGTTGTTACTTTGACACCACTTCCAGGAGGAAAGCACAGCAAGTGGGAAGCACTGGAGTGAAACAGGAAAGAAAACTAGAGAATAGCCATGAGACCCCCCCAAAGGCTGGCTATGCATTACGCAGTACTGGGAGACAACCAATGTCAGAACCCCATAAAAAAAAATGCAAATATATATACATATGAACATATACATATATATGTACATAGCATCCACTTTTCTCAATTGCTGAGTCCAATTACTAGCATTTGCATAGTTTCCTGTGCAAAACACAGATTTACTGGAGACTGCTGAAGACTTTCTATAAGGCAAACACCTTTTAAAATACAAGGACTGCAATGAAGCGCAGAGAGAGGACGAGGAAGAGGAGGGATAACAAAAGAACTAAATGGTGTCCTGAAATCCAAAGACTACAAAGCTGCACTTACCACCTCCTTATGCCCATTTTACTTCTTGCCCAAATAGTTGCAACCCCTCCCTGGCCTGCACAAGAACTGACCTCCAACACAAAAACTGACACTCACAGTTATACAGAGCTGTTGCACCCTTCTCTGTATGGGTTTTACTTTGCCTCAAAAAAAGTTAACTTGTTCCGATGACACTTGTGGACAGAACAAGAAACAAAGGGTTTCACTTATCCATTTTTTTCCCTGCAATGCTGACTTTATGAGAAGAGTAAGCACCAGCTTCCTTACAAAAGCAGGTGGTCCCTTAGCACTCAGGAACAGATCTGCCTCTCTGAAGAGCCTCCCTGATTCCCCTGAGCCCCCCAGAGCCTAGAGCCAGGCGCTGCTTGCAGCGGGGATGCCGCGCGTTGCCAGCAGCGCCAGCAGCGCCGCCCCGACACGGCGCA